CTCGCCGGGCCATGACTTAGGGAGAGAGGGCAGCTGGGTAGAATTCCCCCAGCGGGAGACATGCGCATGCTCATTCATCCAATGTCAGGAGGCAGCAAAGCACAGTGGACTCTGAAGCCAGACTCCTGAGCCCTGCTGTTTTACTAGCCATGTGATCTTGGGCCAGTTGTCTTACCTCGGTTTTTCCACCTGGTACGTGGGATCATGAGAGATTTTTAAAAGCGAATACAGGGGCCTCTCTGGTGGCGCCAGAAGTTGAGAGCAGTGCTGTGAAGCTGTCCGCAGCCTCTGCAGTTCTGGTTCTATCCCCGTGGGCCTTGGAGCAACCCCATGGCGAGCAGACCTCTCCTGTCTCTCCCGCTGCTCCCCTCAGCAGTGTATTTCTGTCTGCCTGTTCTGTTCCCCACTCTGTCTCTGGTGAGTCCTCTAACCCTCCCGCGCATATGGCCTGTACCCCGTTCTTGTATAAATAAAAATAAATCTTTAAAAAAAATCAATTAAAAGCTAACACATGTGTGAAGTCTGGCTGTTCTTTGTCACACCTTCCACTCTCCAGACTCTGTTGTGGTCAGGGGTCAATAACGTTGTCTATGAGGGCCAGATAATAAATAATCTTTGTGGGCCACAGTGTCTACAAATATGTCAGCTCTGCTGTCATGGTCCCAAGGCATCCGTGACAATACATAGAGGAAGAGACGGCCATGTTTCTATAAAAATTTTATTTATAGACATGAGAATCTGAATTCTATGTCATTAAGTACTAGTTTTATTCTGATTTTTTAATTATTAAAATAATTATTGAATTATTATAATGATTAAAAATGTAAATCTACTCTTAGCTCATGGGCTATGTAAAAGTAAGTGGCAAGCTAGATTTGGTCCATCCCTGGCCCACTCCTGGCCTAGGTAAGACTTCAGGAGGTGAAGATGCTAGTACATCCTGCCGCCGGAGACCTGGGTACAGGAAGAGCCTTCTTGGGGTTTCCCTGAGCCTCCCAGAGCAGGGGAGACTCATCAAATGCTACTGGCCCTCATGCTACTTTTCCTCCACCAACATCTGTATCTCGTCTTAAAAGACCCTTTTGAAATAGGGACAGGACTCCAATCAGTCCAAGGTTAAGACATGGCAAACATTTGTTTTTTTAAAGGCACAGAGCCAGAGCAGACCAACAGACTGACACAGCAGGGGTTCCCGGACAAGAAGCAGCTTGCATCTGGATGTTTGGGGCAACCTCTCTGGAAGGAGCTAGTGGCCAGGGAGGGAAATGGCTTCTGCCCAACCTGATCTCAAGACCTCACACCCTGCCTGCCCCAACTTTCTCCTCATGGGACTCTGAGCCTCACCTCTCCCTGCTCCGATGCCTGTACACTACCTCTTAGTGATCTTCCAGGCTGATGCTGTCATCACATTTTGCCTGTCTAATTACCACAAGGGCCCCCAATTTGCTCCCCCATCAAATTGAAGTACTTTCTAAGGGACCCCACATTTGGGTCCCAGACCCATCCTCTCCTGACCCACACAGGCCTTCCTGGGGGGGCCCCAACCTGTGCCATCCTCTGCACTTGTGTGCCCTCATGCCAGAAGCCCCCGCTCCTGCCCACTTCCACCACCCATCAGAGCCTAGCAGGAAGAGTCCTCACAGTGGTGTCACCGAGGAACTATTGAATTGCACCTCCATTTCCTTACCTGTAAAATGGGGGAAACAAGAACAACATCCTGGTGGGGCCACTGAGGTTTAATGAGAACATGTGTGTCAAGCATTCCTGGAGTGAGCCCAGCGGGCTCTGTGTTCCAGAAACTGCACCTGCCAACAAGCCCTGACTCCAGATTACATCCCACTCTTTCCCCTTTGAACCTTTAAATTTACCATTTAGGGGCCTCCCTGGTGGCCCAGCAGTTGAGCGCTGGGCTGTGAAGCTGCCTGCAGCCTCTGCAGCGTTGGTTCAATCCCCGGCTGCCGGCGAGGGTCCCACAGGGCGCGCAGACCTCTCCTGCCGCCCGCTGCTCCCCTCAGCAGTGTACTTCAACCCTTCTGCCTGCTCTGCTCCCCGCTCTGGCTCTGGTGAATTCTCTCACCATCCCACGCTTCTGACTGTACCCAGTGCTTGTATAAACAAATAAATAATAAATCTTAAATTTACCATTTGACTCACACAATTCCAGGAAAGATTTCCTGGATATGTGTCCCCATTCAGGCAACAAACCCATAAGACTGCTAGCAGAATACACCTTACCCATCTCCTTGGCTTCACAGAGCCTCTAAGGCTCCATGGTCATGAGTCTAGGCTGTCATTTCCTTTTCATTAATTGACTGAAGGACTGTCACACACTCCTGAGTGCTTTCTTTTTGTGAGGGGCTTCAGGGGGAAGACTGAAGACAAGTGATCTTTCTAATACAGCACTCTGACAGGCCGACAGAGAATCAGATCACTAAAGAGTTGGCCTGGAGAAGCTCAACAACATCATATATTTAAGTAACAAGAAAGAAAAGCTTTTCATCCAAAGGCCCCTCTGAGCAGCAACAGAGTTCTGAGTGGGCAGGAGTGTGCCATCTGGGTGGGGCCTGGCTTCCCTGAAGCCCTGTCACTGAAGAAAGAGGCGTTCCAGAAAAGCCCAGAAGTCCACAGCGTGGCAGTTTCTGCCCATGGTTTCCACGAGCCCCAAGAATCCCAGGTCTCCACCCAGAGCCCCCCAGAGGTGGGGCCAAAGATTAATGCGCTCCTAGGAAGGAGGAGAGGTATATAAGGGCCCATCAGACCAGCTGACACCAAAGGACAAGCAGAGACTCCACCAGGCCATTCAGTCACTGATCGGTGAGTAGCCTTATTAGAAAGGCAGGGAGGGTTGTCAGCCTGAGCGCTGGTCCAGAGCTCTGTGGGGTGAGCTGACGCTCCTGTGTCCCTCTGAGCCTTAGAATACCTAGGTGGGCTCTGACCCAGAGCCCTGAGCAGATTTTCCAGGTTAAAGTCACATGCAGTGAGCAAAAGCAGGGCCACCCTGAGGTATGGAAGCTGGAAAGAAGTGGGGGTGGGTGCAACTCCTGGAAAGAAAGAGGTTGTTTGGAGTGGGTGGTGCCACCCACTGCCGGCCAGGAGCCCAAGCCAGAGCTCAGCGAGGACACAGGACACCACCTGGCCTGGAGGCTTTGCTTGAAAAAGCTGGTCTCTCAGGAGACTGCACAGTTAGGCAAGACTAGCTGGGCTGCTAGGGAGGGGGAGGAGGAGACAGGTGTCCCTCATCCAGAGCTGAGCACTTGAAGGCTGGAACCCCATCCCTGATGATGGAACAGGGAAGTCAGTGCCTCATGGTAAATGAAAAGCTCTCTCTCCCACTCCGAGCTCCCCGAACACAAATGAATGTAGGTGACATGCCAACTGCCAGTTGGATCAAGAAAATGAGCAGCAATTGGATTTTGCCTTTTTTTATTTAAAGTTTTTATTGATTCTTACGGAGTGAATTAAATGTGAACACCAGAATGAAAAGGGATCTATAGCATCTCTGTGAAGGAAATGGGACACTGGAAATGTGACACATCCATCTGCCCTGGGAAGGAGAGCCAGGACCCAGAGGCTCTGGGGAAAGGAGGCGAACAGAAGGGAGCAATCGCGATTCAGACCTCCCCACCCCAGCTCTCACCTCACCCCAGACCTCTGCACAGGACCTCACCTTCCAAGAAGGGGTCTTCGGTGGGTTAAGATGGACCCACTGAAGGATGGACCCTTCCCACCTTCAGGGGAATCTGTACACAGTTGGCAAGGAAGGCTTGGGAAGTCTGAGCCCTTGTGTTCTTGCTCAAGGAGTTTGAGCCAGATTGGGAAATCAGAAGTGTGGGCAGCGGGAGAGCAGGAAGGCACAGGGAGTGTCCTGCTTAGCTGTGGGGGCTTCAGATGGCTGTGGAGACAGGTCCTGGAAGAAAGACAGAATGCAAGCCTGCAGTCTTGGAAGATTCTCTCCAGAAGGAATCAAGGTTAGACCTGCAGAGGAGTCTGGAGGTCAACCCAGGGCAGGACCCTCTCCTGCCAATGGAATCCACAGCCTGAGGTTTGTGGAAGCCCTGAGTTGACTCCTAGCTCTTCACCTGAAACCCCTTAATCAGCCCCGCCCTACCATCATGGAGGCTCTCCCTGCTCTGGGGACCTGGCTACTGTGCTCAATAGCTCACCCAGCACAGGAATGCTGACGGCCAGCATACACGCAGCAAGCCTGCCCCCTGCGATACCCTTCTCCGCCTTCTGTGGAGCAACATGCCCCAGTTCATGAACTGGGGCAAAGTGCCCCAGCCTCAGAAGGCCAGGCTTCCCGCTCCCAGTGCCTGTGAATGAGTCTACACACCCCAGAGGGCACCTGCTCCCAGGAGGGCATAAGATGTGGTAGGTTTGTGTCCAGAGCTAGTGCTAGACCCCAGAGAGGGGAACCCCACTCTCAGTTCTTAGATACTGCTCCACACTGAAGTTTTCCATCTGGTTCTGGCTCCACAAGAGCAGGGAAAGCAGCCCTTTCTGCTCTACACCCAGGGTCTTGACCTGGTACTCTGAAGTCGAGTCAACAGCATCTGGCCCTGGGCCCATCCCTTCATCACCCTAATTAGCTCAGGAAGCAGAGAAGACTTCCTGGATCTCGGTGTGTAGCTATTGATAATATAGGAGATATATTTCTCTGAGACACGAGGTCTCCACATGAGTCCAGCTGACCCCAAAAGACAGCGCCTAAAATAAAGCAAAGGGCTGACAAGTAGAATGTTTCTTCCCAAATGTACAGCAGGGGATTGGGGGCCTCTGCATAACACTAGGTCAGCTTCCACAGTCTGGAGCAGAGAGCCTCTGAGCTCATCTGGTGAAGCCCCACCCCAGGCCCAAGTCCAGAGAGGCTAAGCAGCTTGCTTAAGATCACACAGCAACAGGTGGGCACAGGCCAGAGCTGAGCGATCCTGCCTCTGACAGGACAACAGTCCACCATTGTACTTGGTGACAGGAGCTCCTTATTGTTGTCCAGTTCCAAGATGGTGTCCCGCAAGGCTGTGGCAACCCTGCTGGTGGTGCATGTGGTCGCCATGCTGGCCTCACAGACAGAAGCCTTTGTTCCCCTCTTCACCTACAGCGAAATGCAGAAGATGCAGGTAAGAGACCCCCCCTGGCTGCCCACCCCCCAACACCACCACAGTAACCCATAGCCCTGCTCAGCACCATATGGCATCGCTCCCTCAAAGTCACAAGGGCCCTTTCAGTAAACCTACATTTAATCCTCGATGCTAATGACACCAGGGAGAGCACAAAGACCCTGGACACAAGATACCCACACCCCAAGCTCCAGCCATCTCCCTGGCCACCTTTACTCCACCAGTGTCACTCAAAGGTGTCTGTGGCTCCCACAAGCAACAGCAATTCTCATCCCTGCCCATACTTGAGAGGAAATTTTCAATTAACAAGCCAATAAATATTTGCTGAGCATCCCTGTGTACAAAGGGCCGCCTTGGGTGAAAGGCCAGACACGCAAGGAAATCTCAGATCTGCCCATCTTCAAGGCGCCTGGGAGCCAAGACACAAACACATGAAAAATTAACTAACAATAGAAGACAAAAGGGAGATGTCACAAGGCAGGACATGATTAATCGCCCAATAAGTGATGTTGATGGTAAGTACTCAAGTTCAGGGGAGGGAGAAATCACTGTGGGCTGGAGCGTGTTCGGAAGCCTGTAGGGGAAAGTAAAACCTGAGTTTGGGTCTTGAGGGAGAAGGAAGGAGGAACCAGAGCGAGAGCAAACATCCAGGATGACAAAGAAGGGGCTTCCCATGCGGTGGCCCAACACTTCCTTCTCATTCGAGAAGAAAACCAGGCAGGTTTATGAACGCGGGCATCAGGGCCTAAGGAAACTGGGCTGCTGGGCCTGCCTCCTGTGCCTCTCGCTTTAGATGCCAAGGGGTTCTGAGTGTCTGGCCAATATTTGTTTCTCTTTGACCTGAGGAGATGAAGCAACAGGACTGTGATGTCCCACTCTCTGAGACTGAGCTCCAGTAGGGACAAATACCTGAGTTGGGGGTCTGGGAGGGCGTGAGCTGTGGTTTGGCCACTGCTGTGTTTATACACTGTCCAGGGCACGCTTCTACCCTGAGTCTCACCCGCTCCCCCAGGAAACAGTGTCCTTGCAGGGGCAAAGCTGGACCAAGCACCCCTTCTTCAGGGAGAGACATGGAAGCAGGGAAAAGGTGCAGAGGGCCCCCTAAATACACCTTCCAGCTCCCCCTCAAAAAGGCTGCCCATTGTTCTAGAACAGCCATGTGTCACGGCAGGTCCAGAGCCGAATCCCAAGAGTGTCACACAAGGACCGAGGGCACGGGGCACGTCTGGCCTCAGCCCTTGGACAGCTGGCAAGCAGGATGCCAGGCGGGATGTGGGGCTGGACAGGAACAGTCTGACTTGGTAGCACTTATAAACTAGTAAAATGGCAATGAGAGGACACTTTAAATTAATATGCTCTGTGGTTTTTCTCCTCATAATTGCCAGGCACCGGGATTTTTATGAAGAAGCTGCAAACTCGTTCTTCCATAATTCATCTCCCTGTCTTGCTCTTATAAATCACCTCCCAGGGACTCCGAGTTTCTGGGCCACCCCATGGCGCCCTCTCAGGCTAGGCTGTCTTGCCACTTTTTTTATAGGCTGTTTGCTAAGAAAGACGCATTTTCACACTTAATATGTATGAAGGGCAGCCATTCTTCTCAGCATTTTAACTTAATTAACAGTAACAATTTGGGTGTGCTGTTTGAACTACGAGGGGAAGGATTCCTAGCCAAGATCATCTGCTGGGGGGCAGCTCCAAGGGCTGGTCTTAAGCTGTTGGTTTCTGAGGTGCCTCATGCAGCAAGCACCTGGGGAGAAGGGGTGCTTGGGGCCTGTGAGCAGCTCAGGCCAGTTAGCACCATGGACAGGGACAAGGGGCCTGGAGGTTGTTGAGGGAGGGTGGATTCCAATTTCCTGCTCTGCCCCAGGAAAGGGAGCAGAACAGAGGGCGAAAGAAATCCCTGAGTGTACAGCAGAGGTCCGAGGAGGTGGGCCCCCTGGTCCCCGTGGAGCACACAGAGGAAGAAGAAAACCAACTTATCAAGGTGAGCAGATGGGGACACTACAGAGAAGTCGAGCAGGGAGATGGTTCCCCTAGCCAGAATGGAATGTTCTAGGATACAATAGTGAACCCAGCATCTAGGTCACACTTAATATGTATGAAGGGCAGCCATTCTTCTCAGCATTTTAACTTAATTAACAGTAACAATTTGGGTGTGATGTTTGAACTACAAGGGGCGGGATTCCTGGCCAAGTTCATCTGTTGGGGGGCAGCTCCAAGGGCTGGTCTTAAGCTATTGGGTTTCTGAGGTGCCTCATTCAGCAAGCTCCCTCCTAGTCAGGAGAGACAGACACCAGCAATGAGACAATAAACCATCTTTGGCGCCAGATAAGGAGTACAATAGAGGATGATAGGGTGGGTTTGGGGGCACTTTGGCTGGGGGAAGGGCCAGGGAAGGTCTCTTGGGGGAAGTGACATTTGATTGAATGTCACCTGACATTCTGAATGTGACATGCCAGAACAAACATGGAGTGTAAAGGCTGTACCTCGGGTACCCAGTGGGTTTGTGGGCCTCAAAGCAAGACGTACGGGAAGGAGGCAAGAGGTTGGCAGGGGCTGGTGGGCCAGGCAAGATGTCAGGGAGGCTCAAAGTCACCTGATCCAACCTAGCGAGACCTGGAGCAGCAGGCACAGAGGCAGGAGACCAGTCAGCAAGCGGCGACAGTCCTCAGGAGAGAGATGACAAGGTGCCAGGTCCTCCCTTAGACAAGAACCCAGGAGACAGCTACAGCATCTAGACACAGGGCACTTGACCTTCAGCACCAATGTTGGATGTACAGTGAGGGGGTTAGAAGGAGCCTTGAGTCTGTCCAGTAGGGCTCTTTACTTTCACAGACTGATTTATTCAGTTGATGGGAACTCACTGGGTCCCTGCTCTGTGCAAGGTGCTTTCCAGGCCCCGGGGACAGAGTGGTAAATGAAAGGGACATATCCTCCGCCCTCACAGAACTCACCCTCCAATGGCGGGCCAGAAATAGCCCACAAACAGGATAAATAAGCAAACTTTATAGTGTGACAGGTGTTATGAGGGAGATAAGGCAGGGAAAGGACATGGGATTGTTTACATTTTAAATAGGGTGATCAGAGTGGATCATTACTAGATGGTATTAATGCCAAGACCTGAAGAGAAGGATGGAGTGACCAGAAGATGTCTGGAGGGAAAGCATTCTAGAAAGATAAAATAGCCTGTGCAAAGGCCCTGAGGCAGGAGTCAGCCTGGTGCACTAAAGGACTGCAAGACCAGAGTGACTAGAGCAGAGAGGGCTGAGGGAGAAGCTGGAGGTGAGGCCAGACCATGTGGCGCAGGCAGGTCAGTATGAGTCTGGATTTCAAGAGAGGTTAGGGCTGGAGAAAGTAGGAGTTATCAGTGAGATGAACTTTTGAGCCAGGATGAGGTAAGATCTCTGAGGGGATGGGGTGGACGGAGGAAGAGACCCCAGAACTGAGTGTGGGGAACTTCCCTGCAAAGGGGCTTGGGATGAGAGGAGCCAGACATCTAGAGAGAGTGAGGGCCTTGCCAAGGTCACACAGTCAGGGCAGAGCTCCCACTGGCCAGTGTTCTTTCAACCCCATTGGGTTGACACAACTTGGAGGGTCAAAAATTTTGTGGCCCAGAGAGTGACCTTGAAGCTATTGCAATACTGTGCTGGGGCTGGGGGGAGAGGTGTCCTGTCCTTCCCACACACTCTTTTGGCTTTCAAGCCCTACAGTTGGCAAAGGCAGTGTTTGTTCAGAACTGCCCTCTAAATGCATCTGAGGCCGAGCTGAAGACACTCACTCCAGTTTTCATGTTATATTCATGTCATATCCCAGGAGGCTTGGAGTGAAATACCTCTGGGTCCTCCCATGATGTACAGGCCTTTCTGGATCATTAGTCCAGACTCCTCACTTGAAAGTGGACAGGCAGAACCACTGCAAGAGACCGGCGTTGCAGGGCTGGAACCCAGGCTCCTTGAGACACCTCCCCAGAGAGACAGGGAATCTCCAAATATGCCTGTTGGATTGTCCAGCAAAACCCTGAGTAGGGAAAGCTGTGAGGGATGATGGCAAGACCATCCAGCGCCGCTGGCTCACCTGCGCAAACTTTATTGGTGGAGAGTCTCTAGAGCGCTGCTCCAGGGTGTCACTCGTGTCCCCACAGTGCTAGAGAAAGCGCAGCTCGAGCCAGGTCCCCTAGATGGAATGTCTTCTCCCTCTGCTACTTACCTGTGTAGCCTTGAGCAAATTACTCAACCTCTTTGTCCTCACCTGCAAAATGGGGACACTAATAACATCTACATTGTACGTAGGGTTATTGCAAGACTTAAACTACACTTCAGAAGGATGCCTGGCATCAGAAAGCTCTATATTGTCAGCTACTCTTATTCAGAAGCGGGTGGGGAGTTCCCTCCCCATATGAAAGCCAAGGGCTTCTTGCCAAGCCCACCCTGTTTGTTGATCCCCCTCCCAGCAGATCTCAGTGACTTCCAGGATCCAACCCCCCTGCTTAGGCCTGGGGGGAGGGTGCCAGAATTCTCTGTGGGCCCTTGAAACCCCAGAGGATCCCAGAGGATGGAGGTGGGAGGCATCAGCAGGATAGTGGGGCTGCGAGTGGTCCCTCCTACCACCTGTGGGGCTCTGGGGTTAAGGACCCTCTCTGTGCCTCTCTCTTCTAGTTAACTCTGCCTTATTTCACAGCTGACTGCTCCTGTGGAAATTGGAATAAGGATGAACTCCAGGCAGCTGGAAAAGTACCGGGCCGCCTTGGAAGGGCTGCTGAGCGAGGCGCTGCTGTCCACCCAGAACGGTATGGGGAGGGTGGGGCGCCTCAGCAGCCACAGCTGGGATCTGGCCTCCGCCCCCTCTGATGTAAATATTCCAGAAGCATGTCTGAGCCAGGTTTGGTGACTGCGCTTTGTTTTTCTGCTTTGCACTTGAAACCATGAAACCGTCTTCTCAGGCAAGTGCAGCTGTCTCCAAGGTGGGGGCCTAATTGCAGAGTAGGGGGGTTCTGACAGCTGCTGGTGGCCAGCGAGGCCAATTCTCGTCAGGGGCATCTGAAGGCCCTGCCTTGATGGCTCTGGTCCATTTCTCAAATACCTTTGTGCAGAGGGACAACAAACAACCCACCCCCACGCTCCCAGGGCTCCAGAGAAGTTCACTGCCTCCCCCAACAGCACTGCCGCTGGGTGGGCACTCTGAAGCACGCCTCGGTGCAGCATGGCCACAAAAGCCTGCACTTATTCATCTGTTCTGCAGATGGAAGTCCTGAGCCCTTTTTGGCCTTGCCTAGTTCAAGGTTACCCGTGCAAAGCTAGGTCTCATCTGACAAACAGCCACCAATTACTTCTCACAGTCCCCAGGAGGAGAGCAGAGAAGTAGAGAGGAAGTGTCATAGGAAGTAGAGGTTAAGGAACTTGCCCCAGGCTATAGAAAAAGCTAGAGGTTCAGTGAAAGGCCACAAAACCCGCCCCTGCTGGGGACCTCCCTCTTCCCTCCCTACTGCAAGTGGGTTTAGAAGATGCTTTCTAAAGCCGACCAGCTGACACCACTGAACTGCAAACTTCTTTTGCTTTCCCGCAACAGCCAAGTGATACCTACCCACTTCAGGGAGAAGGTGGACAGATCTGGGGGCCCTCTCTCATCCGAGGGAGGTCCTAGAAACCTGCACAGCCTACCAATTGGATCCAGAAGGAAAACACCCTCTCCCAAGGAAATCCCCTTCCAGCAAATAAAGCGTGAGACATGCAGAAATGACTCTTTTATTTAATATTTTAATTTCCAAATGTCACATTCAGGTCATGCCATAAAGGGGGGGAAATCTAAACTCAGAGGGAGTTGGCTATAAATGGTGCATACATTAACCAAATGTGTGCCTTTTTAAAGCTCTATTTTCAAATAGAACTTATAGAACTTTCGACTAGAACTCAAATACTAACTTAGAGCCATGGAGTTGGAAGATGTGCTTCAGTTCTTCAGTTACAGGTGAGGAAACTGAGGCCCGGAGAGCTGGCTGCTTTTCTCGCCCACAACTGAGTCAGTGGCAGGGCAGACTGGAATTCGGGTCTCTGAATCCTGGTCCACTTTCTGTTTACTGATGAACTCAAGGTCTAATGGGCCAGAGAGTTTTAAGGCCTCTGCTCTCAACCCCTTGCTGAGTTAACTTCCAGCTAGCCCTTTAACCTCAATGAGCCTTTGCAAAAGCAAAGAGGTGATATCTGCCTTGAGATCTGGGGACCCGGGCACCAAGCAAAGAGTAAATTACTATTATTATTACCACCTTGTGACGAGATGCTCCAGCATCTGCAGTGAAATTACACAGCCAACCCGCTTATTTCTGCCTTCTCAACAAAACTACGTGGGAAATTTCATTCTAATTTAATTTTATATTAATGAATGTTCATTTATTTATAAACTGGGGCCACAGAGGAGCCGCAGCTCCCTCCATCCATAGGTTACCAGCAATTAGACACAGTGCCCCAACCACTGTGTGGGCTTAGCCACAGATAGTAATTACTGGAACAAGAAGACTCCAGCCCTTAAAAAAGACCCTTGACTGGGGGCTCTGAAGATGCAAAGCTTCCATGGCACCCTGCACACAGCACCTTCACACAATTTCCAATGCGTGCTGATCAACCCAATTGCACCTGGAGGTTTGGGGACATTTGGCCAAGACACCAGATAATAAATGGAGAGAAAGGGCTGCAGCAGGGCACAGGGGGAGAGAAAGAAGAAAGACACAGGAATCTATAAAGCATGAGATTGGGAGGAACAGGATCCAAGACTTCTCCGGGCCCTTCGGAGTTCCACCATGCCAGTTCACTCCATTATCTGTAACACACTCCAAGAAGCAGAAAAACAAAATGCTCACAGTTTCTTTCCAAGTGGAAAACAGATTTTGTCTTTTCCTCACCCTCTGCTCTGAGCTGTCCCTCTCTAAGACCACGTTCCCCACACACAGGCATTTCTGAGGCAGGAGCTCCCTAGCATCCTCTTAGGAATTTTCCTTATGATCCCAAGGGGTTGAATAGCAGAGTAGAAACAGGCAGGTGAGAAAAGAGACCCTTGGAAGATTTCATCCCAGGTGGTCTGCATTTTTTTTTTAAAGGGAATTGGTTCAGCAAGCACAGCACCTGGGAAGCGCGAGGGTGCTGTGTCCTGCAGAAGAGCCCCGGGCCACACTCACTGCTGCCAGGACTGTCCACGACCCTCACGGTGGCCTGTGATGTGCTCTCAGTAATGAGCCGCAACAAGGACCCAGCCTCCACTTGCATCTGTATGCACAGTGCCCCCACTGCCTGTTTAGATGTGTCGGCTCCTTTCTTCTCGTTTTTCCTCCTCCTGCCACTATTCGATTTCTCACACAATCGGCTCAAATAATTCTTTTTCTCCAATGAGCTCCTCCAGTTTCCAGGACAGCGAACTCGATTGCTTACAGGACATGCACAGCCCTGGAAGAAATTAAAATTGGGGGAGGTTGGGCAGGATTCTGTGAGCTGAGCCAAGAGAAAATGACCGTGTTTGCACAAAATGGGTAAAGACACATTGTTGGTTAAAGCCATAGAACGCCTGGACCAGGACGCCGCTGGGATCAGAGGTGGGGAGAAAGCCCAGAAGAAATGTGTCCTCAAGGATGCCAGGCCTCCTCATATCCCAAGGAGGGTTACCCAGCAAAATCTGCAAGAATCTTTCCAGATACCTGACAATTACAGAGTTGCAGATTGCCAGTCTTCATCTGGAATGTACTTTACACTTAACAGGACCATGGGTAATTATGGGGTGACCTGCGCTGAGCTCCACAAGATGGAGATGATGAGGTATTTTCTTGGTAACCACATCGGTGTGATTTTATAATTACTGAGCTACATGGATTTGCCATGAAATTGAATAGTTAAAAGCAAAGAGTAATTGCCTGATATCTGTACTCTGTAATTTAGTATAATCTAATCATGGACAAAGCCCAAAAGAAAATGTTCTGAAAGCATTACATTTTTCTTCATACACAATTTGTTATTGACATTGGGGAATGTAGTCTGTGCTCTAAAGGAACATTTACCCACAGATATCAAAGTGTGAGAGTGGTCAAACGAGTGTAAGCATTGTTCCATTATCAACAGATTATGAAAAGCAGGTGACATCACTGGCCCAAGAAACCCATCCTGACTTGGCTCTGTGCCCCTGTTTGTCCCTTTCTTGGACCTACAGAGATGAAAACAGCAACCCTCCTTTACGTGGGGGCACTGAGATGAGGCACCAGGATGGGATAAAAAGTTGGGTAGTGCTGGCTCCATTTCAAAATCTGAGCCGAAGATTGCACCCACTTTGGTGCACCTTTTCTTTTCTTTTTTTTTTTTTGGTACCTCAAATTTTTATTTATATATTTAATTTTTCATTGCCATTTGTTTCTTACATCTTTAATTTTTGGATCATGTTGGATTTCTCCCCACCAGTGTAATCCCCATAGCTTCCCACCACCACAGCACCTGTGATCCATCACTACAGGCCCTTGTGCTCCTCCTTCCCCCGTTGTGACCCTTCCCCCACCCCCACTGTATGCCTCAGACGTATGGTCAGCTTGCAAGTTTTGTCCTTTTTTCCCCCCTCTTTATTTGGTTCTCTATATTCCACATATAAGTGCAACCATCCAGGATTTATCTTTTTTCTCCTGACTTATTTTACTTAGCGTAATCCCTTCCAGCTCCATCCATGTTGCCACAAATGGCATGAGTCTGTCTCTTTTGATGGCTGAGTAGTATTCCATTGTGTAGATACACCACATCTTCTTGATCCAGCCCTCTGCTTTGGGGCATTTGGGTTGTTTCCATATCTTGGCTATTGTAAATTGTGACACAATAAACATCATGCCATGTTTTCAGCCACATTCTCAGCGCCCCCGGGCCCCAGTGTGACAGCACCCATGACATGCTTCAAAGACAGCCCAGAATAGCAGAGAGAGAGCCACGGAGACCATGAGGTGGCTCAAGGACAAGTCCATGGTCCCTGAGCATCTTTAAGAACCTGATTAATGTGTGCAGGGCTTTTTGCAGGAAGAGAAAGAGAATGGAACCCACTAAAAGATTTATGGCTGTTATTATTGTAAGGCTCTGCTGAGACAGAGAGAGGTCAGCAGGACCCGCAGGCAGCGTGGCAGCCCTCCGGGAATCCGAAGCGTCCCCATAGCAGCCCCCTTGTCTCCCTAAACATGTGGTTTCTAAGTAGATTTAGACATTACAGCTTGTTTTTCTTCTTTTGCCTTTAATAAATCAGAAGACCGACCGCAGCCTGAGCGACTCACCTTAAAAAGGAACCCACAAGAAAGTGATAGAGAAAGGAGGGCACACAGGGCAGCCGTTGACTTTGCAATATTGCCCTTAATACTCTACAGGGCCAGCCAAAGCAGCGCATTGAAGACATAGAAAAGGAGATTCTAGAAGACCTCAAAGGACCTCAGGGGCAGCTCCAGATTCAGGAGAGGGAGACAAAGCAGCACTGAGGCTGAGCCCTCCGGGGTCTACACAGTAGTCAGTGAAGGAAGCATCCTATGGTGGAAAGTGAAGAGCGAAACGGGCTGACTTCACCAAAGCGGCACCAGGTACCAGGGCTCAGGGCAAAAAATATTGGCAGAGGACTACAGAGGTGTTATCTCTCCAGGGAAAGCACAGAAGGGAGCAGGGAGCTCAAGAGGAAAGGCCCCAGAGCAGAGAGGAATGATTGATTTTCTCAATCAGATTGTGAGATTTCTTCTCCGAGGGGTGGGAAGGGAAGCACTGATGGCAAAGAGGTGTAAGTGATGGCAAGTGTAGGGTAAGTAAAGTGTCAGGCTTTTCTGCCCTCCCGCCATTAGTACTGATGATGGATCCCTGCCATCCTGAATGCATGCCTGATGGCGGGCACCTGGAGTGGGGTGTGGGCATGCATAGGTGGGATACACCTGGGCTAAGTCTGGGGCTTATAAGGGCGGTGTCACGGGGACGCCAGCAGAACAGCAGAACCACCAGAAGGAGATCAAGCGAGAGAATAGCACCAGCAGAGAAGCAGGGACACCACGAGAGAACACTAGAGAGCCCAGAAATAGTAAAGACTGGCCAGAGGTTGGGAGGCCTGCCAGCCTCCTGGCCCTCTAGCACCTCTGCCTCCCCAGCACCCCTGCCTGCCGTGTACCTAGTAAACTCAATAAAACCCTGAAAAAGCCACCAAGGGCTCCAGGACTCTCCTTTGCCCCATCTGCATGGCATCATAGAGATCCTGCTCTGTGGCCTTCCTGCCGCTGCAGCAAACTACACCAGAGGCCTGCCAGACCTGCTGAGACAAGGCCGGGACTATCAGAAGCCACATGGAGGCAGAAGGCTGGGCCACAGGAACAAAAGGTCATGGAAGTCGGTTCTAAATTAGTGGGGAGACAAGGATTGGGATGGGGTGGGAGGGCTAAGGCTCATCTGGTCCTAGGTGTATGTAGCAGCAGCAGCAGCAGCATCTCCAGACACAAGGACGGCTGAGTAGCCCACACTGGGACCACCTGGGGTGGCTCCAGTTCAGTACATATTTTTAAATCACCCTGAGATCCATTGTGATGAAGTAGACTGTAACTCTGTGAAATGCTGTAACGTTAACTTTGTTTAAGCATCAGTTTCAAGCCCTCTTACAATACACAGGGCCAGTATTGATGCCGAAAGGCTTGTTCTTTATATATTGAACTGCACAGCTGCAAGGAGTTGCACAAATGTTACCAACTCATTTGTCATGCAAACAGTGCTTCAGAAAGAAATAAAATACTATTATGTGGTATATGTGTTAGGCAATCACTACATCAAATTCATGGCATTCCGTGCAAACACAGGCAGAGAAAAGGAAAACAACACTTGGTGAGAGAAATCGCACCACATGGGAGCAGCTAAGTCAGGGGAGATGGGGAGGCTAACAGCAGAAGCCTGACCAAGCCGAGGCTGTAATTTTCCCAGCAATTGTGGCCAGTGTTGAAGGTCCCTGTGAGAGCAAGTGGCAGGAATGCAAACCACTGGCACAAGGGTCTTAGCAGGAATCCACGGAGGGTGGGGTGGGGGGAGAGACAGGTGGGGGTGGGCTATGGGAATGCAGAGGAGGAGGGGAGTAGAAGAGACCAAATTGGAGGGTAGAAATGGAATGGAACCTACCGTGCTGGCAATAAATGTTTGGGAAAGTCAGCTGATGAAGGATGTGGAAAGAATACAAAGAGGGAGAGAGAAGCAGAAGGAAGACTATGAACCATAGCTCTGTGTTTGCCACTATCCCCAAGCTTCCCTTAGGGGTTTCCCTGCTAAGAGTCTTCTTATAATCAAGCAGCAGGCCCTGTGGGAGGTTCTCCGCAGCACTGATGCTGCAGAGATAGGGGTTAAGCATAAACACGCAGAGCCTGTGCCAGGCACTGTCCTAAGCACCTTATACAAATTACTTCTTCTAATCCTCACAGCAACCCTGGCCAACAGGCTGGAAATGTTAATTGGATATGATCACACAGCTAAGAGTGGCGGAGTTGGGATTTTCACAAATTAAACTACAAGCGACACAAGACTGTCTCTAGGGCCTTCCCCCACCCATTCTCCTTATGAAAAGCCCACCACGCGGCCATATGGCCTCCCCCAGAAGCCTGAGCCGCCCACTAGAGCCCAAGGGCATTTGACTTTTCTGCCTCACAGGCAGGGCCCTCAAGCACTTGGTCAGTGACTTAATTGCCAAGAAAATATACAGGGGGGGCTGGCCACGACCTGGAGTGGAACCAGGCCTCAGGGCGTGCCTGGGGTCCAGTCCTCGCCCAAGAAGCCTCCTTCCCTGAGCGCGAAGCGATCAACAAAGGCCAAACAGCGAGGGGCAAAGGGTCCCCTCGCTCCACAGTGTCTTGCTTTCACCATTAAGCAATCCATCCATTAAATCGCCACGACATCATCACTGAGTGCCTACCCGTGCGGGGCACGGCGCAGCGGGCGGGGGTGTAAGATTGGCCTTAAGGTGAACACCGCCGACCTAGAGGGTGGAAGAGGGGCGACAACGCCACAGCGGACCTTCCCAATATGGCGGCCCTAGAGGCCGAGTCTGACCTCCTCATCATGGCCGGCTCATCCGGCAGGTCCCGACCTCCTAAACATGGCGGCCACGGCGACCTTCCCATCATGGCGCGGGGCCCCGCCCGCTCCGCTGCGGCCGCCGGCGAGAGCAGTTCCGGGTGCGGTGCGCGCCGGGGGCGGGCGGGGGGCGGCGTCCTGGCCATGGCCGGCCTGTCGGACTTGGAGCTGCGGCGGGAGCTGCAGGCCCTGGGCTTCCAGCCGGGACCGATCACCGACACCACCCGGGACTTGTACCGCAACAAGCTGCGCAGCCTGCGGGGCGAGGCCCGGCTGCGCGGCGAGGAGCGGCTGCGGGAGGAGGCCCGGCCGCGGGGCCAGGAACGGCTGCGGGAGGAGGCCCGGCTGCGCGAGGAGGCGCCGCTGCGCGTCCGGCCCGCCGCGACCTCTCATCGGGCGGAGCCCTGGTTCTCCCCGCCGGCCTCAGGCTCGACCCACGCGACCTCTGGGGCCTATGGCGACCTCGGGGGCCCCCGGCTTCCTGGCCCGGGAGCCGCGGCCTCGCCTATCCCGCCCGCCCTGCGCTCCTCAGGCGTCGCGCCTCGGTCCGGGGCAGCTCCGAGGAGGACGAGGACGTCCGGCCACTCGACAGGGCCCCGCCGGGCCCTGCGGCCCGTCGCTGGTGGGCCCCGACCTCGGCCCCGCCGCGGCCGCCCTCCGCCCTCCTCGGCCCGGACCCGCGTCCGGGCCTGCGGGCCACGCGAACGGGCTCAGCGGGCGCGGCGAGGGCCCGGCCCGAAGTGGGACGGCGGCTGGAGCGCTGCCTGTCCCGGCTCCTGCTCTGGGCCAGCCTGGGGCTGCTGCTCGTCTTCCTGGGCATCCTCTGGGTGAAGATGGGCAAGCCCTCGGCGCCGCAGGAGGCGGAGGACAACAGTACGTCCCGGGCCGGCGCTGGGGAGGGCCCTGGGCGCGCGTGTCCACCTGGACGACCACCCGTTCCTCTCAGCGCCAGGCTGCTCGCTCCGGGCCTTGTCAGCCGCCTCTGGCCGTCTTCTTACCTCCAGACCTTGGCTTTCCTTCCTCCAGCTGTGGGAGGAGAGGGCCGGGATTCCCTGCATCTGTAATAATTTCTCTCTTAACTTTATTCTGTTCTCGTTTTCTGCCTTAGCCCCTCCTCTCTACTCTCCCTTTCAGCCACATGCTGGAAGCAATCTTTATTTGTAGTCCCTTTCACCCCAACTCCTGGCTGTCCCTCTGGAGAGAAAGCCACACCTCCCTCTGACAGTTTCACCCTCTTCTCCCCCCCCCCACTTCCTTTTCAGTGCTTTCCCCACTTACGATCTCTTGTTCATTTCACATGTTTAGTGCCCGTTTGAAGGCACCCTGGTTTCACTGCCCCCAGATGGGAACTGATTGGGGTCCCACTTTGCAGTACCAGAAAGGCCACATGCTCCACTTCTTTACACTACAGGGTCCTCATTTGTCAGAGTTTATAGTAGTCTTGCCTAAGAGACAGGTATGGACGGGCCTTTTAAAGAGTTCAAACTCATAAGCAGAGGCGTTTGTCATTGCTTGCAGCACCCTTGTAGAGTATGTTGAGGTGGGGGCGGGGGGCCCTGTGATTACAGGACGTTCCCAGCCATGCTTCTGTCCTCAGCTATGTAATTACATATACCAACAAGAGGTGTGTGGGCTACAGTATATTTCCTGAATAATTGAGAATTTATGTGTGTTCTGAAAGGAAAATTTGCCTTTCAGGTAATTCTGGGCTATAGTCTAACAGGAAACAAAGTAGAGAGCATTTCTTTATACATTTAAGTATAAAGCGACATGGGAGTACACCCATATTTAGTATTCTTTGCAAAGCATGAATGATTGATACTGTCCCCAGCCTCAAGCCAAGGCCACATCTTTCCACTCCTAACAGAACAGCTGAAATGCAGGGAAAAGCTAACTTGTCTTAGCTATTGCAGCAGATGGATGTTTGGGTGTATGGAAAGTCTGTGGGCATGGGGATTCCAGACTTATGCACACACCCAAATAATTTCTTGACTGTGAGAGCAGCTTATCCACCTGCTGGAGAAGGTCAGCCGATCCGGGAACCATGGTACTTACTGCATGGCACTAACTACACCAGCGATGAGAGCAGTGTCACCGTCATACTCACTGCTGAGATGCTTTAAGACAACAGGATTCACCTGACCTTCCCCTCCACCATGGATTATCCCTGTTTAACATGTTGTTTACGATTTACAAAACCATATATGTCGTCTCGTTTAAGCCTAACTCCCTGAGTTAAGCAGGGAAGGCCTTAGTGGTCCCATTTTGCAGACGAGGAAGCAGAGATTCAAAGAAATTAAAGGAGTTACCCAAAAGCCCAGAGCTGATCCTTCTCAGTAGGGATTAGGACCTAGTTCCTAACCCAGCACTGGGAAACCCTTACATTTTATGCTCCACATTTTAAAAGAACCTCATTTAGATAACATCTTTCTAATTCTCACACTTAGATTGGTAATGTTTTACTTTCCCTGATTTTTTGAGAGTGCACCTTTTTTTTGTCCTCTGCTCCTCAGCCTACCCTTTTTAATATCCTCTGTGTTTCTTTTCTTGGTCTCAGTGAAATTATTGCCAGTGGACTGTGAGAGGAAAACAGACGAGGTGAGTCTGAGTTTCTCCAGCTTTTATTATTTCTCCCGAGATGTTAGCCTCCATCAGGAGGGAAACTTCCCCAGGAAAAAAAATCATAATAGGATCATTTTCAGTGAGTGCTTCCTGTAATGTACCAGAATCACATCGTGTTCTGTGATGTTTGTGTCAGACTCAATTGTGGCAGTGAAGAAGTACTTGAAACTGAGAATTAAGCTCCCAAGATCCAACCCAGGGCTTGTTGCGCAAGCTCGCCCTTCAATCGCAGCGTTGGGGACTTTGCTCTTGTGCCTAAGTCCATCTGGGGAGATGCAGCAGGCTGTGGTTGGAGGGCCTCTTAGGCTCAGCAGCAGGAGGCCAGGCTCTTGAGTCCACATTCTCCAGGTATATGGCAGTGACTCTGAAAATACCCTTCTGGTTTGAAACCTCGTAGGGGTTTGTTTTAAACACATCTAAAGCAGAGTTATTCCTCTTACTCTCTAGATTTGATGAAGCTTTCCTGTTTCCTACAAATAATATTTGGGGAAGGTGAGCAGCCCCTTCCTTTTATGAGTCATGAAAGAGACATTAGCACGGAACTGGGATGCCGGTGCTGGTGGTAGTCGGGAGGATACAAGGCAGTAAATTTTCAGGTCATAAATTCTACCAGGAGTCTTAGGCTGCCAGAGGGCATGACTTAGTAGTCTAATTATTAAGTGGGCAGATGTGGGGCCTCCCCGAGTCCTCAGTTAACGGCTCTGGCAGCCTGAGGACTGGGAAGGCAACGACTCGTGGTCATCTCAGCGCCTCACATTGATGAAGGGACATCTGGTGCAGATGACTGGTTTTATCTCTTTGGCTTGTGCTGTGTCATATTTGGGGTGTTTTATTGCATTCATTTATTGCATTCATCTCCCAGATATCTTTGCTTCCCAATTGTTTTATAAAAACAGTCATAATAAGTTGAATCTGCCTTCCATCATAAAAACCACAGTTGATGATTGGAGGAAGTGGCCCAGGAGCATAGGCAACGGGTGGAAGGGAGACTAGAATTTCAGACTGAGAACGAAAACAAGAAAAAAATACCGCTTTTCTGTACGACTTTGCTGGTGATGTTAGTTTTGTTTTTAAATTAGAAAAGGGCTCCTTGGTTTCCATTTCTTGGCCCATTATATCTCTAGATGTAGCAGACCCATGACTGAATGACAGGTTTGCTCCCTGGCCCTCCTCTTAGCTGGACCGGCTGGTGCCCTGCGAAGTGAGTTGGACAGCACAGTCCAGGTTCCTGCTCAAGATGGCAGTGAGCAAACCATCAGAAGGCAGGCTCCAGGCCATGCTCTCTTGAGATTTCATGGGGCTCCATTGGCCTTCGTGGAGGGCAGATGCAGGAATCGTCAGGCTGGGAGATACTTAGTGGCTTTGATGAGGTTCTTGCTGAAAGGTCTCATTTTTTTTGCGTGGGTCCAGGCTCACTCAGAGCCCAGACAGGTATTTGCATTTCAGGTATATGTCCTTTCGCTCTTAGTAGACTGTGACACTTTTCGTTGTTCTTTCTGCCTTTTTTTTTTTTTTTGGTAAAGATTTATTTATTTATACAAGAACTGGGGTACAGTCAGAGGTGCGGGAGGGTGAGAGAATTCAACAGAGTCAGAGTGGGGAATAGAACAGGCAGACGGACCAAAGACACTGCTGAGGGGAGCAGCGGGTGAGACAGGAGAGGCCTGCCGTGCCATGTGGGTTTCTCCCTGGCCTGCCGGGAATCAAACCCATGCTGCAGAGGCTGCGGACAGCTTCACAGCACGGCACTCAACTCGCTGTGCCACTGGGGAGGCCCCTGTTCTTTCTGCCTTTGTGTGGCTGAAAATATGGGACTGGCTTCAAGTGGGTATAATGTCTTAGACCGGCTCATTGTCTGGTCCCTGCTCTGCCAAAATACCAGTAAGTTTGGAACTGTGTTAGTTGTTACTGCTTTTTTTCTGGTTGTGACAGTTGATGTTTAATGTAGAAAATTTGAAAAATGTGACAGAATCACCCATGATTCTGCTACTTTAGAGATAATCACCATCAATGTTTTGGGGCATTTCCTTCCCATTTTATCTCTCCGTGTGTATGTGTTTATAGAATACACAGTCTCCTTATCAGTATTTCCCATATCACTAGATATTCCTTAAAAAGAAGTTTGGAGACCTAACTCTGCTAGGAGATAAGTGAGTCCACAACTGTTCATGGACATCTATAGCTATGTATGTAAATTGTGGTTATAATATCTCATGCCTTGTAAACGCTTTTGGTGTCTAAGCAACATGAAGGGACACACCTTGGCCTCTGAGACTGTTTGAAACCAAGTCTCTCACCATACAGATGAGGGCAACAAATGAGCCCTGGGGAGGAAAGCGACTTTGCTTCCTTCTGTAGTTGCAGAATCAGGCGCAGAACCCAGGCCTTTGGCTTCCCGTCCAAGGCTCTGCCCAGTGACTCCCCAGAAGAGGCCCAAAATGTGGAGGTAGACTTGGAGTCGAATGGTCAGGCTCTGCCATGATGGGATTTCAGTGACCCTACTCAGTTTTCTAAACCTCTGTCTCATTACAACATGTGGCGGCGGGATGAAAATGGATTACTCAGAGTCCATGTCCAGAACAAGGAGAAGCCTCGAGGGACCACACCAAGAAAGTACAGCCCAGCGCCAAAGGCAGTCTCGTTTTTATTTAGAATCAGACAGAAAGTAAAGAGATCAAAGAAGCAAGCAGGCAAACGGGGAATGCACAAGTGTGAGGGGGTTGTGTAACCAGCTGCACCAGCCAAGGTTGAGAAATAAGGAGAAAGCCAAGAAAAGTCTCAGTGTTTATGCTGCTCTAGCCATAACACCTATTGCTGTTTCTGCACATGCTGTTTTCAGCATGTGTGGATCCTCATACCAGGACTTTTGCCCTGGAAGTTTCCTTATTAACTTTCCTTGTTTCTGCACACTGAGAGGCCCAGAATAGTCAAAGCAAAGAATAGTTAAGGCAAAGACACAGAATAGTTGAGGCCCGTAATAATACAAGTTCCTACAAACGTCAGGCTCCTCATCTGAGGAATTGAGGTACAGTGAGAACCCAGCACAAGGTTGGGTCCACACCGCTCAGCTGGGCTGTCATCCACTCTCACGGAAGAGTGACTTTTTTTTTCTTAAATGTTCTAAATCCACTAAGTCCAGTAAAATGCTGTGAGCTCCATTACACGTGCTGGAGGATGACATGTGCATATATTCCTTCTTTCTCAGACATGACTTTTTTTCTCTACGGCAATTTCAAGATTTCTAGAAATGTTCCCTTTTTATGGGAATCCAATAAAACTAAGCAACCATTTGTAGCAGATCATCCACAAAGCCACACACACAGGTGAATTGCAAACACCTGACTCTCTGAAGAAATGGATGAGAATGGTGTGAGGGGAAAACTAGTCAGTATTTAATTTTCTCTCCCAGGAAACCTAGCCAAGCATTTCCCCCACCCCACATGGCCACTGCTCCACAGCCCCACTTATTCCAGTGGGAACTGTGGAGCAGAGGCTGGGGAACCTCCAGGATGGCAGACCCTTAGGATTGTGTCTGCTTCCAGTCTGCCTCTGCTTTTACAATGTTCCTTTCCAGTCTGTTAACCTGATGTTTATTGACCCTGTCCCCAAGCCTACCACTTTGCAGAATGTATTTTTTGTAAGTATTAAGTATACCTTGCTGCCTAGTACTTGACAGCCTGGCTGAGGAGATAAAGCTAGACAGAGAGACCCCCTCTTAACTACCCCTCCATGTTGACTGCTTGTCCTGTGCCCTTTCAGTTCTGTCAGGCCAAGCAGAAGGCGGCCTTGCTGGAGCTACTGCATGAACTGTACAACTTCCTGGCCATTCAAGCAGGTGAGTAGGTCTCATGAGGTCCAAGGTTGCTCATGAGTAGGTTGTGGGCCATTGCCTGCGTCAGCCAGGTCGAGACTGACGGGCAGATAGCTGAGATACTCTGTGTTGTCTCCCAGAAATACACTCAGAAGCCGAGTCTGCACTCTCTCCTCCCCCTCAAACCTTGTGTTTGATGGAAACATATTTGGTTCCCTGAGCCCCTTTAAGGGTCCCAGAGGTCCTGACATGTACACAGGCCTTTTAGCTGATTGTCTGTCTCCTCTGGGATGCCCACCACCTAATGCTTTGTGGGCCCATGTTGCACTGAAAGGGGCCAGACCTTTGGTTTTTCTCCCACACCCACATTGCCAATATTCCCACATAGGCTCCCTTGCACCTGAGGTTGGCCAGGCCAGGTAGAGAGATCTGTGCAGATGGTAGGCAGTCTGTGTCGTGGGCTGATCAGACTCAGGCCTGCCTAGCCTCCCAGGCCCTGGTTCTGATTGCCGAACTGGTGTGGGTCTTCAGACAAATCCCTGATCATCTCAGGGCCTCGGTCTCCCATATGACTAATCTTGGTCTGTCTTGCTTTACAAAGTGACAGTCAAGTGCTGTGCTCTAGAGGTGGGCATTCTTAGCAATTCCATGAATACCCCTTGAAACTCAACCACCCAGGACTCTCCTACCACTTTACTGGTAAAGCCTTCCTTGAGGCCAGAGATGTCACCCACATTGTTCCTTCCACATACCTGGGGTCTAGCAGACTCTCAAAATTGCTTACTGATGACATAGGCTGTGCCAGTATTAAATATACTTGGCAAAAGAACCAGATGGAGTCTTACTAGATATTCAAAAGGTGCCTCTTACCTGTGGCGCCAACCCTTTTCGAAGGTTGTCTCTGGGAAGTCAAGGCTGGGTGAGCTTGTACTGGGACCTCAGTCCTCAGGGCCAGTCTTGTGGGCTTCGGCTCTGCCACTTCTTCCCTCCTCTGTAGATGGTCAAGGAGACAGTGTGAAACTGCAGATGGTCAAGGAGACAGTGTGAGCTCCTTGGTCAGAGCCAGGGCGCACAGCATCATAGTCATGGGCATTCCTCTGTTGCCCAGGTGCCCAGAATAGAAATCATAGCCTAAAAAGGTATGCCAAACTTCTGTGGCTCTATTGTGATCAAGACCCAGCAGTATCAATATCACCTGGGCGTTTATGGGAACTACAGCACCTCAGGACCCATCCCAAACCTATTGACTCAGAATCAACAAAGTTGAGAAACTCTGCTCTTGAACTGTGCATCCTAGTGGACATTTCTCCTCCCCCTCATTCTACCCTCCACGTGTAGTCCTGCCTATGCCATCAAGGGGGCTGGTACCTGCTATCCTCTGACAAGTCTGGGAGGGGCAGTCCTGGGAAGACAGACACTGAGACAGGCTCCAGGGAGTGTGGGGTCTCCTGTCCCCTTCTCTTCTATAGGAGATCAGTGGTGGGCAGGGAGGGCACTGTGCTGGACTTCGCAGGCTATGAGCCTACAGCCCAGGGTCCTGCCTGCAGGCTGCTTGTGGTCTCCATAAGAGAGATAGGCCGCCTCCATGCTGACCACTTGCGGATTAAAGATTCACTTGGATGAGAACTGAGCGGCCAGAACTTCCAGAAATATGGAAGAGTATCACAGAGCAGGTGGCATCCATGCCAGGCCCTGAAGCCCAGTAATTATGTATATATGGGAAGATGGACAGACCAAGGAGGCAGGAAATCACAGTGTCAGGGATAGTGGCAGTTGGCTTTAGCGGGGATGGAGAAAAAGGGAATGATATTTGGAAAGATCAGTTGATGCCCACTCTGGACAGCATGGATGCCAGGCCCCTGGCACTTGATCTGCTTGCAGGGAGGCTGTTGAGTAGGGATGCGATGGACTGGTGCCAGGAAGGCAAATGTGGTAGAGTCATGTCACTTAAGCAGATTGATTTTAAAGCTTTGACAATGAAGCATGTAGAAGAAGATAGAGGAGACCCGCCAGGAGGCCTTGGGCCAGAGTGGTCTGGGTAGGGGTGGGAAGAAGAGAAGCCGATTTGGTCTCAGGAACCAAAGATAACTTTGAAGTTGGAGAATTTGGCTGTGTTGGGTGTCAAGGGATGGGTTTCAGTTCATTCTCAAGATTTTTAATGTCACCTTCAGCCACTGGCTCCCCAGCATACACACAGAGCCTGCATCTGAGGCTATGCCCAGTTAAGAGCAGTCAGCATGCGTAAGGGTTTCGGCTCTTGTGTGTGCCCAGCCCTCTGCAGTCCTGTTCTCAGGGAGCCTAGGGATCCATGGGAAACAGCACTTGATGGGAAGGTGTGATGGAGAGCCGAGGGCTGTGGTAGGCCCCCAAGTCTGGAGGTCCCTATGTGCTGGGGGCTTTTTAGAGGTGGTGATCCTTGGGCTAGACCTGGAAGCCTGGGAAGACTAAAGGGAGAGGCTGCCAGCTCCATTTTGGGTGACAGAAGGCTACCCAGGGTGCTCAAAAGGGAGCTGTGGCCTGAAACACTACATAGGCCTTGCTGTCTAACACCTCTTCCCCTGTGGGGCATTTTGGACATCCCTTCCCAGAACCCCTCAAAACAGTGGGCATGGCATTCTGGATCACCTGCCTGTGTCATGAGTCCAAATCCCTCTGTTGCCTGCGGCCTCTTACCTTTCCTTTTTTCCCAGGCTGTGCTTATTTATAGTGCCATTCCGGTACCTTCTAAAGCTATCTGTCTGATCCTTTTAGGGATCAATTGCAAACAGACCTTGGTATTGGGCAGCTTTTTAGTCATTTAATGCAAATCGCCGCACTGCTTTGCAGGTCAGGTTTTAATGATCTGGAATCGATCCAAGCTAAGTGGCTTTTGATCTTGCTGCAGAGTGAAGATGCCCACAGAAGCCAGAGCCGGCGGGCCACATGCTCCCTATCAGAGCTGATGGCATGATTCTTGCTGCATTTTTTAGTTCATTTCAGAGTAAAATTTTTTTTCACCTCTTCTTTGTGTTTGAATGTGTGTTTTTTTCTCCTAGGTAATTTTGAGTGTGGAAATCCAGAGAAGCTAAAAAGCAAATGCATTCCTGTAATGGAAGCCCAGGAATATATAGCAGTAAGTAGGCTGCAGTGCTTAGCCATTCCCCAGAGGTCCTGGTGCTTTTCTATTGATCTTTCAAGCCCTGCGTTTTTTTTTCCTTTTCGTTTTGTGTTTGCTTTTTGGCTTTTTTGCTTTCCTTTTTTTTTTTTTTTTTTCCTCAGTTGATTGTGAGGCCACCTTAAGTTAAGGCAACTGTGAAGGTTATGGGGCCAAGATGAGCTTTGCACCAGGCCAGGTCTACTGACCAGCCGGCACAGCCGCTGTCACCACCCTTTCTCTAAGTGTAACTTGGTCCTCCTTTGGCTCAATTTTCTCCCCTTCTCAGCAGCTTTAAGAATACACCTGTAACAGGTCCATTCTCTCCCCTTAGGATTACCTTGTGGGTTGCTCAGGATCCATTTGATTTTCCTCATGGTTTCAGATGTATGGAACTTTATAACTGGCAGAAACGGTAGAGGTCACTGCCTTCAGTTTTCATTTCACAGATGAAGAGACTGAGTCCTTGAGAGGGGCAGGGACTTTGCCAAGGCTGCTTAACCTGGACTGGCCCCTGAGTTCCACACCTACACACAATTGGATAAACATTTTACCCAACATGAGCTGCTAGCTCTCTGGCCTAATGCTTCATTCCTTGAAAAAATCATATTCTTTGGCTGCCTCAGGCCTGCATTGTCTTCCTGTGTTTGCTTCCGCATCACCTCCTCTGGTTATGGCCTCTTCTTTGCCTCTCATCAGCCCCACATTTCCTGCCTGCCAGTTTGCTGTGCATTTTAGCGGAACAGGGCTTTGGGGCATGCAGAGGGCTCCAGAAAGGGCTTTCTTAATCCAGGAACAAAATAATGTTCCAGCTGCTCCGCCCATACCCAGAACTAATCTTCTCTGTCCCCTCCCACAGAATGTGACTGGCAGCTCTGCCAAGTTTGAATCTGCACTGACCTGGATACTGAGCAGTAACAAGGACGTGGGCATCTGGTGAGTGTGGGCGGGGCAGCACACAGTGGGGAGGGCACCTGCACCCCTGTCCTCATCTATCAGCTGACTCCTGTGCTCAACAGGGGAGTTTCAGGTCTGAAGTTAGAGGGCCGGCCTCCCGGCTGAGTTGTTCTGGCCTAGACATCAAGCCCAGGCAAAGGAAGGAAAAAGTATCAGGAATGCTACATAAGGACTGCTGTCAAAATGAGACACAAAATCCAGGTGTCAGGATATTAGCCTGATGTTTCAGCTAAACCTGTTTCAAGTCACTCAGTCTGCGCCTTTGTAATTTGCTGGCCCTGCATGGTTTGCTGGAGAAGGCACTTTTCTTACTTCCTTTCCTTGGGTGCTAGTTTTCATTTGTAGATGAAATGATTCTGTATGTTGGTTTCGCTCAGTATGGAAATTGCAAAAGGAAATACCGGATTTTATTCTGACCGTGCAGTTCCGCCTCATTTCTATCTCTGGTGAGCACTGTTAGCAGAGATAGCGGCCCTTTCACCCTCCTGAAAGGCCCCATCTGGCTGCTCAGCTGGGGGAGGGACACACCACTGCTGGGTGGCGGGGGGTCCCCCTGCTGGAAAAGTACTACGTCGTCACCCCTCCCACTTCTTAGGGCTTGTCAGGGTCTCTGTTCAGGTTACAGCTCCTGGTATTAAAACACGCTCTGGGCTTTTGTTCTCCTGCTCTCTAATCCACCCAAATTACTAATTCCATCAGTAGTGCATCCAACAGGAGCCCCTTGGGCAGCGCATCCTAAAGCTTGATAACCGGATGCATGGCATGATTAAAATTCGCTGGCTTAAAAAAAAAAAAGTAAAGCTTCCCTGAGTGGCTGACTGATTTTCCTGTGTTAGAAAAGGCGGAGGAGAATGTGGATTTTATCCTCAGCCGCCTCACTGAAGCTGCTAACACGGTGGAGTCTATCGGGGAAGGCAGCCTGGAGGGGGACTTAGCCCAGCTCAGATGAGCAGTGTCCAAAGTGGGTTGTAGAAATCAGGACACTTCGGGTACCAGCCTTTCAGTGTGCAGTCCAAAACATGAGCTTGTCACCTAGCTGGACGACAGGGTGCTATCAGCGTCCCCGCGTGTCCTGGCACCTCCTCACTGGGGCGGAGGCAGTATGGCTGGGGTCTGGCCATGGGGGGCCTGGTGGTTCTTATTCCCTGCACCTCAAAGGGCCCCTGATCTTTGCACTTACACAGCTCCTTGCCACGGAGGGAAAGCATACCCTCTCCAGCTCTGTCTTCAGTTCTTGCCATGCAGTGCAAAGCCAGCAACTCGATAAACATTTCCATTTCTCTATGCTGAGAGGTGGGAATCCAATCTACAGTTTAATCTTCTACACACTGAGAGGGGCTGGCAGAAGACCCGACAGAAGAGGACGTCACTTTAGCAGTAGGGGTTCAAGCCTGCTGCCATCTTTAAGACTTCAGTCTTTCTAAGTAGCCAACATGGGAAATTTCTGGAAAGAGTGCAACCATAATACCAAGTCTGTTATAAGCAAGGAGAAGCCTCAAGGCCCCTCCTTGCTTCTCTTCCTCTTGCTGAACATGGGGCTTATGCCACACCAGAACTTTTGAACACGTTTACAGCCTGTGTCCTGTTTCAGGTTGAAAGGGGAAGACCCTTCGGAATTGGTGACAACCGTGGACAAGGTGGTGTGCCTGGAATCTGCCCGCCCTCGCATGGGCGTTGGCTGCCGCCTGAGCCGCGCCCTGCTCACTGCTGTCACCCACTTGCTTATCTTCTTCTGGTGTAAGTCTTTTCCTCCCCTCAGCCCTTTCCCTGCCTTGAGACTACTCAGTCTCAGTGCCTCCTAGAGCCCAGCCCAGGGAAACTCTTAGGCATGAATGATGAGTTCTAGAATCCAGGCCCAGAGGGTTCATTTTTGTCCATTGAGCCTGAAGCCTGTCTGCTAAAGCCAGGGTGATGACAGGCCGGCTTCTGCTGGGGCCGCCATCCTTTTGGAGATTGGCAGTAGGAGCATGAGGATCACTAGAAATGTCCTCTACTGAGGGCAGGGGACTCACTGTCTCTGAAGGGGAGCCTGGGAGGCTGGGTGGGCCAGAGGCTGACTTCTTCCCTCCCTGGACCCCAGAGAGCAGGCTACACTGAGGACGAGCAGCAGCAGCAGGAACTCAACCTAATTTTGTTCCCTGAACAATGTAAACATCTCCTGCGGAGCTACAGATACCTGATAAAAGCAGGAAAAAAACTGGGTGCTGAGCTGAAAAGGAGACCGCGGCCCTTGTCTCCCAGCATCAGGAGCTGCCTTTGAGCAGTGACCAGGGGTGTCTCTGAAGGTGAAAAGGCCAGTCACAGAAATCGTGGTTGGTTCTGCAGAGATAGCGGAGTCTCAAATCATAGGCCGCCTGGGCGTGCCCGCGGCTCTCTCACCCACACCATCAGGCACAGTCATCATTATCGGCAGCAGCATCTCGAACACAAAGGCCCCAGCATGTATATATGTATGAAACGCGGTGTTCTGGTTCACGAGGGAGGAGATGAAAGCCCTGGAATGAGGTGGGGAGGAGCTGAGATCTGGACAGCTGGGGCACCTCTGTGGTGACAGCCGGCTGGGAGAGAGGATCGCTTAATAGCAGGTCCTCCTTTTGCATTTTTGAGTCCTTTGTTTCCCTGCCGGCTGGCCTTGGGCCTGGCGCCCTGGTTCCCAGAACACACTGAGCAGCTCACCCATGGCTCCAGCACAGTGACTTGCCACTAGTGAGTCCCACTGAGCAGCTGCATAGATGAAGGCGATGGAGGGATTAACAGCGCTTTGTTCCCTCACAGGCTTGGCTTTCTTATGGGGGTTACTGATCCTCCTGAAATATCGGTGGCGGAAGTTGGAAGAAGAGGAACAGGCCATGTATGAGATGGTGAAAAAGATTATAGGTGCGTGGTCCCTGGTGAAAGGGCTGCTGTCGCCCACCCGAAGGCCCTCGCCCTAACGGTGCCCTCTGTCCTGCAGACGTGGTGCAGGACCATTACGTAGACTGGGAGCAGGACATGGAGCGCTACCCCTACGTGGGCATCCTGCACGTGCGTGACACCCTGATCCCCCCACAGAGTCGGTGAGTCCTGGTCGGATCCTGGGAAGGAGACCTCACATCACTCATCTTGGGGGCAGTTCAGCCCCAGGGCCACAACTGTGGATACTGGCCACACCTGCTACTCCTCTAGCTCGAATCTTTACGGCAGAACAGGCAGGCAAGAGGTGTAGAAGGGTAGCCCACTCCTACACAGAGGTGGCGGCACCCTCAGTGTTGATTCTGATTGGGGTGCCCTGGCCAGCAAGTCCTAGAACCCCTCTCCTTTGCCCCATGGCTCAAGCAGGGAACGACCTGATGGGTGTCCATGAGTGGAAGCTCAGAGAGAGGTGAGCTCCGGCACGGGACAGCCACGACTTTCGTTCTCTTGCTTTGATTCTCATGGTCCTGCCCTTTGCGGGTGTTGTTGGAGGTGGAGTTCCTTGTGATTACAAGATGGGGCTAGTGGCAGCTGGAGCAGCGTCTGCCTGGTCACACCAGCAAGAAAGAGGTGGGCTTCCTGTTGCTGTCATGAGCAAGGGGAAACAATTCCCAGAAGCCACCAGTGATGTACAACTTAAGACTCCACTGGCCAGAATTGGTTACTTGTCTATTCTCGAATCAGTCGCTAGCCAGGAGGAGGATTTTAACCATTGACCCAGCATCAAAACACACATTACCTAAAATGAGGCCCAGTTCGTGCACATATGCACCCATGCAATACGTGTAGTTGAAAGCAAAGCTTTGCCGCTTCCAGGGCACAGGGCTGGTGGGGAGGAGTGGCAGGCCACAGCTTCCACATGGCCTGGGGATGCTGAATGGACCCATGACCTAACTAGGGGTAAGGTGGAGTTGGGGGACAGAGTCCCTGGAGGCCGCCAGCCAGGCCCACCGGGTGTTGGCTCAGGTTGTGAGCCCCACTGCAGTCTTGGGCCAGATGCTGTTACCCGCTGGATGACACCCAGTGCTCACCTTGCTGAGTGAGCCTGCACTCCAGTCAGCTCTCCACAGGTACAAAGCAATGTGATCCTCACCATGGCCCTGGTGTGAGAACAGTGGCACTGATTTTACAGATAAGGAAAGTGCAGCACAGGGGGACGTGCTCAGCCCCACGGCTGGTGGCATTTCTGTGCTGCCACTGCCAGGCTCTCCAGTGGGGTCACTCCTTTACATGCAACCTAAGAGGAACGTGAAGAGCAGAATGTTTAAGGAGGACATTTAAATGTGAAGATACTTCATAACTATGATGCCCTCCCCCATCCCACCCCTGGGAAGGTGGTGGGCAGGAAGCTTAGAGCAGACTGACCGCAGGTGGGGTTGTCCTTGGTCCCCAGAACATGGGGGCAGCCACTTGAATGTAAACTCCCACCTAATTCCTGGCCTGCTCAGAGTTGTCGTGTGACCATGGGTAACTCAGCCTCCTGAGTCAGTGTCCTTATCCCGGAGACAGAGATACGACCACTGCCCTCCGTGGGCGCAGTGAAGAGGCCATTGTTCAATAAGTCAACAAATGTTTATGAACACCTACCGCGTGCCACACAGTACGGGTCGTGGGGCGAGCAAGAAGCAAAACTACTTGCTGGAGCCCTGATTCTAGGGAGGAAGACAGATGGCAAGATGCATAAGGAAAATGTGACAAGGCCCAACGGTTGGGGAAGGGGAGTTGGGGAGGTGACCTCACAGCTCACTGAGTCGGCGCCTAGCACTTGAGCATCATCAAGCGGCAGCATTACTGCTTGTGCCTAAATTATATACAGCACGCAAACTCCTTTAAGAGTAGGAAGTTGCACTGTAGCCACCACACCTCAACTCTTGTGCATCAGTAGAAACAACAGGGGCCTGAGCCCCTGTCAGTGAACCCTGGGGGGTCAGTGTCCTGTTGGCTCTGAGCTGGACTCATCTCCCAAGTGATGTGGTGGGGCCCGCCGAGCTCTCAAGTCATAGGATGCATTAGCTCTTATTAACCCTGCGTGGGCACGCTCGGTTCTGCCCTGTGTTTGAGGGCCTGCTTGTGAGAGTGAGGGAGAGCTGAAGAGGTGGTTATTGAGGAAAGCAGGGGAGTTGATGAGAACAGCTTCTTCTTTTGCTTGTTAATCGGCAACTGGGAAGGAGGGGCTGGGCTGAGGCACCGGTCCCCACACATCCCTGGCTGTGCCCCTTCTGGAACCTAGCATAAGGGACTCTCTCCACAGTGTATGTGGCCTTGGCCCAACCAGCCAAATGGGGTTGCTAAACAGCTGTAGGTGGGTAACAGGTCCTGACTCCCACTCTGCCCTCCAGAAGAAACACCCCACTCTGTGTCTTGCTTACAGACCACCTCAAGAACTTCCTTTCTTTGTCCTGTCACAGGGAGGTGATCTGCAGTGCTAACAAGAGGCAGGGGCTCATCAAAGGGCAGACGTCAATGCAGCCCTTCCTGATGACCTTGGCATCTTCCTGTCAAGTCTGGAAGGGGAGTGGAAAGGAAGCTGTCTAGGGACCCAGCAAGCAGGGACTCTGGCCCCTGGCCTGAGACCCAAGACCAGTCAGCCAGGAAGGGGCCTCACCTAGCATGGCTGTCATTCAGAAAACAGCTCTAGTCCCTTGACAGCCCTGGTTGGGTGCTTAACTCCTCCCCATCCCTGACATGCCGTGGAGTGTGGACTCAACGGCCACTGTTGAGTGGCCACTCTTTCATTAGCCCACACAGAGCATTCAAATGCAGCTAGCACTGGTGGTGGGACCAGCCTGGCCCCTGCAAGAGCTGGCCAAGCACGGCCTAGTCCTGTCACCTGGACTGCTCCGGACACCTCCAGCCAGGTTCAGTCCGTAGTTGAAAGCTTTTGATGCAAGGAAGGTTGAGAAATCCTTTCTTCCTGGCCTAAAGTTTCTCTCCTCTGCAGGATTCCTGTTAGTATATGATGGCTTTTCCTCCTGCAGACAAATTCTGTGCTGGATCTCCCACCCCCATGCCTACTTGTACAGAGGGTGTCCACACACCAGCTCTCCTCTCTCCACAGCAGCTGCTCCACTGAACCTGGCCCCTCTTGTTACAGGAGGCGCATGAAGCGGGTCTGGGACCGGGCTGTGGAGTTCCTGGCCTCCAATGAATCCCGGATCCAGACAGAGTCGCACCGCGTGGCTGGTGAAGACATGCTGGTGTGGAGATGGACTAAGCCCTCTTCCTTCTCCGACTCAGAGCGATAAACCCGGGTGGGGGCCAGTTACCATCAGTCTGCCCCAAGACACGACGGCCACCAAACATACTGGTGCTGAATTCACACTTGCCTTGACTTTTACCCTCCTTCCAACCCTGGCTCCAAAGTCTCACTAAAAGACCCTTCAGAGTTAGCTCAGTAGGGAAATGCAGGCTTTCCTGAAGGGGGAAGGGGAGAAACCAGAGGTCAGGTGGGTAACTTGTCCTCTGCATTGGTCTCATTCTCTTTGCCCCATTTTGCTGGCAAAAAAAAAAAAAAAAAGGGTTGGTTTTCATGAATAAAAAAGGTAAAAGAGCAGTGGCTTTGAGACCCCGCAGAGAAGTGTGAGGTTGGGTGGGCTGGAGCTAGTCCCCCGCAGTGAGTGCCAGGCAGTGAGGTGGTGAAGCGCCTGTGGGAGGCAAGTCTGGGGATGGTGGGTGGGGCGGAGGGGTAGGGGAGCAGCTTGTCCATGTGCCTTCAGAGGGTATTACCTGGGAGCTCAAGGGTAAGAGGAGAAAGCCTATCCTCTGGCTGGATTGGGCTGCTTTTATCCTGAAGGGAGAAGATGCTAGAAATTAGAAAAAAAGTACTTTAGAATTGTCTAGAAATGCCAAACCTTGGCATGAGGGGCCTTCAGGTCAGGAGGAATGAGCTGCTGGTGTGGCCTCCGGGAAGAACCCAGGGCAGGGCACAGGCCTGAGAGCAGGGAGGAGAATTAAGGCCTTCATCAATCACCATCACCACGGCCCCTCTGAGGTGACCTCCAGGGGTTGGGCCTCGAGTGGCACTTCTCTCAGAAGTCACAGTCTCAGACCAGACCTGCAGCCGTGGCATCACAACAGGCCGAGAATGCCGATTCCAGGACCTTGGGTATCTTGCTCTTGTGTGCGAAGATAACCTTGTTTTCCATGAATTTCACTTTGTTTACAGCGACCACAGCCTCCCTGATGGGGCTGATGAACCAGAACTTCCAGCACAGCCTTTGTTTCTGTGTGTGGGTGAGGCAAGGTGGCCACACCACCGCCCCCTGCTGGTCACCCAGCGCATGCCAGCGCTGCTACCCCAGACCAATGCGCCGGCTACTCTGCCCGCTGGGCGGGTGGCGAGTCCAGAAACAGCCTGGCAGGGAGCCTTATTAAGTGTGAGGAGCCTCTCCAACAGAGTCTCATCCCATATGTTCTCATCTGTGGCAGGCAGGAGAGGGCCAGGGGAGACAAAACAGCTGCCTCCAAAAGGCATTAAGCATCCCTTTCTGGTCTATTGGTATTTTTTGTTTCCTTAATAAAGCTCCAGTCTCCCTCATTTGAGCAATACTCTCATTTCCTCTGATGTCTGGATAATCGGCGAGGCTGGAATCCGAGCACTGGCCCTGTGGCAAAGAAACTCTCATAATCAGGCTCCGGCCAGAAGAAGAAATACCGCAACAGGCTTCAGTATCAGGGCTGAAGCTTGAATAAATTATTTATTAAAAATGGATGTTTCTTGTCTGTGTTTCTTTCCCACTTCCCCCCAAAGCAATGCAGATGAAATGGCATTGTGTGGAGTCTGGCTACAGGAAAGGCCAGCTGAAGAGCAGCAGAGCAGGCTGAACTGGGTCTGGCCTTTCTGCTTCTCAGCCTCACCCTCTTACCTATGGAGCCCTCCAGCAAGCTACATGACCTGCAGAGTCTTGGTTGACACATGTAACACCATGACTTGTAAGACGGCCACCTGGTCCCTTTGGGTGGCAAGGAGTGTGAGCTGACAGGACCGCTTTGGCCCCATTTCTGTCTCCCATCAAAGCCCAAGGCTCCCCAGTGCTCAGTAAGCCCCTGGGAGGTTGGAAGAGCAGAGTGAGGGTGGATAGTGGGGGACTCCTCAGCAGCTGATGAGGGAGAAGGTAGATACTGGTGGCAGACGTCCCTTCTGAGCCCCCACCGCTGGGGAGAGCAACAGTGCAGCCCAGGGAGTAACTGGGGGACCCACAAGCCGGGGGCAGGTAGTCTTTGTAGAGCAGAAGATTGTGAGGGTGAGGGGCATGGGGAAAGTTGCAGGCATTTGGGGCTAGTACCAAGATTCAGTCAGGTCTTCCTTTTGCAGGGGCCCCGGGGTCTCAGTCACCCAGGAAGGACACAGCCCTGCTGTCTCCATCCACATGGCTGGTGCTGACTGCTACATGAGCACCATCCCGCTATCCTCCCCCAGCTGGAAACTTTGTGGACAAATTGATACAAAGGACCCAGAAAAAAAAAATAAGCCCTTTTTTCCCTCTTTTCTTCGGTGTTTTGTCTTAAGTTGAGAAGAGAGCTAATGTGGGGCTCTATTTCTGTGAAGCTGTTTGGAGAGCAGGAGCAAGATCAAAATAAATGAAATAACGAAAGGCCCCTGCCGGCCGGCCCCTTCCTTTGTGGTACACAGAGCGCTGGACACAAAGGCTCGAGGTGCGTCCTCAGCACAGCAGACAGCTCGTGGGCTCTGCAGCCTCTCCCGGCTTTGAAGGGCCACAGCTCACTTTCAAGCAGCTCTTATTTCAGGAGGAACAGGGACAGCACAGGTGGGGGATTTGCTGGAGGCAGGTCTGAGGGTGTCCCTGGGTGGGAGCCATCGTTGAGAAGTTTCCATTGCTCCACCTAATCCCTTCCAAGTGTTCCCTGGCCACAGACTTGAGTTACCTCAGTGACAAACAGCTCTCTTGGGCTCAGTAGCCACCAATAAAGTAGCTTGGGGGGAACAGGAGGGAGAGGCTGTACCCCACAAATCTCAGCCGTAGACGTCCACCCAGGAGCTCTAGCCACCTTCCAGAGTCTCTGCTCAGGAAAAAGGTAAACACGGCCATTTGTCACTGACTTATCATACGCGCTGTGGTAGCAGCTGTTCCCCCTTAATTAATACACCATTGACTTTGAGTCTCAAAAAAAAAAAATCCCATCAGAGATGCAGGTGTGTGGACTCAACTCCATTATCCTGTCTGACCCGCGCCCCCCCCCCAAAGAGAAGGGGCAGGGTGGCGGTTACACAGTAAGTCTGCCCTCCCTGGGTGACCAGGCCAGCCTCTCCACCCCTGCGCCAGGGAAAGCGCTAGAGACAAGGAGGGGATCGAGACAGGAGGCCCCCTGATATGCCAGAGGTAAAGAGAGGTGAGAGGTGAGGGAACAGTGGAGGCAACATGCCCCCTGGTGCTGCCAGGCTGCCTGAGGCTGTGGAGTGGACATGGGGACCAGTGGGGTCCAGCATCCCAGGACTGGCTCTGCCCTTTACTGGCTGGAACCCTGGGCTAGCAGATTTCTCCCTGTGGAAGGGGGGCTTATTAAGAAAGAACTGATGACATGAGCCAGCACGTGCTCAAGGTGAGCTGTAGCTAGGTTGTTGTCATGCCTTTAAATAGAGGGGAAACTGAGGCACAGGGCGGTCTGGTAAGTAGTAGAGCCAGGGTCTGAACCCAGAAAGCTAGCTCTGGAGTGTGTTCCCAGGCTAGCTCTCTTCCCTTCAATGAAGGAGGAGCCACACAGATTTGTTGTGCTGCTGTGGACTTGACAGGACAGAATAAAACCACTTCACCCAGGGGAAGAGCCAGAGGCCCTGGGAGGCACCTCTGCCCTGGCCTCCTGCTCTGTCCCCACTCTGTTGGGCCTCAAGCCTTGTGCCCTGGCCCTCACCAGGCCGCTCCTGCCTCTGAGCCTCTACACTTGCTCTTTCCCCAACTCTGCTGCCCCCCAGACCTCCACATAGCCCACCCCTCCTCTCCTTCAGGCCACTGTCCGTTTGGCTGTATAGCTGCACCCACCCACCATGCAGCCCCACTCCGGGACCCAGCCCTCCTTTATTTCTCTCCTAACACCAGATGGGCTATAGATTTTACTTAGCTTGTCTCACCGCCACCGCTCAAGCCTCAGCCCCTTGAGGGCACACATCTCTGTCGGTCTCGTTCACCGCTGTGTCCCCAGCACTCAGGCAATCTCAACTTATCCTGGAGCTGCCAGGTACTCAATAAATGTGTGATAAACAGTTGAATGGAAACCTCTGTCACAGAAAGAGGAAAGCTCAGCATTTGGGTTTCTAAGGTCTGATTTCCTCCAGCTTTTGTTGACTGACTTCATTTGTCTTTTAACCTGGGTGCTTTGATTAAAGCAGCCCTCTCTGGGCAACATGGGCCGCAGCACCTACTCCTGCCCTGCTGTGTGCACCTCAGGTTTCCAGCTGTGACCTGTCTCCCTGGAGGAGACTCCCCAGGGGAACAGCGGTCACAGAAGAAATCAAGCTGGACTGAAGGACTGCAGCTCTCAGGCTGGGCAGAGAAGCAGAGAGAAAGCCAGTTTCCCCACCAGCCCAGGGCACAACAGCTCCCACAGGGCCTGCCCCGCTCCCAGCGAGCTCATACAGAAGGAGCCGAGGTGAAGCAGCCTCGGGCCAGTCCCCGACCCTGCCCCCGCCAGGCACACAGCCCAGGGTTTGCGTGAGCTGCCGGGAGACATAAGAGACAGGAAGCCTCTGAAATGGGGCTTTTCTGTCCTCCTGGTGAGAGGGGGTTTGGCGCAGACGTCAAAAGCAGTGACAGGAGATTCCCTCCTGCCAAGAGGGTGGGCCAGTTCATGCCCGAGACCCACAAAGTCGAGGGCGATCCTTTCTCACAGGGCCATGGGGAGATTCAGGGCAATTCACAGAAGCGCTGCCCACCTGAGGGCCAGGACAGGCAGGGCTCCCCCGGTCTGGCAGAGGAACCAGTCAAGTCCAGAGTAGAGTCTCGGGACAGGTTGTTGCTGAACAAGCTCTGAGAAGAGAAGGTAGCTGAGGTATTACTGGGGATTACAGCCCAATTTCTAAGCTGCTTCTGTTTAGTGAGGAGACAGCAGAAAGTACAGTAATTTTCTTCAATGAAAACAGGCGACAGAGTTCCCTTTGCCTCGTTCCCCTTGCAATTAAGTCCTTCTCTGCAAATGAAATGATTTGGTTTTCATGGGGACTAATTTAAGCACGCTGGAAGGGCCGCTGAACTTTTTGATTGCAAACACCAGCATGTGCAAAACAGAATCCCGAGCGGTGGCGCCAGGCTGCTGAGGCAGGCCCTTCCATGGCGCAGGACTGCCACGGGGTGAGGTGGCTGAGCGCTGGGCAGAGGCCAGCTCTGCCCCTGAGTTCCATGGGCCTCTCAGGTGGCGGACCCGCTGCCCCTGTCCAGCCTCCATCCCCTCAGCCCACATGAGCAGGTCAGACTAGACCCCTGGGAAGCCTGGGACGTATGTGGTGATGGTGGTGAGCTTCAGATGCCACACATTCTCTGCCACTCCTCTCTCTCCCTTGAATGTGGACTGGCCCCATGACTGCTCTGACCGATGAGCGACAATGGCCAGTGCCACCTCTAGGTCTCGGAGGCCTTGTCACTTCTGCTTTCTCCCTCTTGGGTCGGAGCCACCTAATAAAGAGGCCCAGCTGCCCTGCTGCAGAGACCTTGTGTGGAAACAGCTGTCACCAGCCCCCAGCTGTTCAGCATCCCAGCTGGCACATCAGATGTGACAGAGGCCACTTGTAGACAGATTTAGGCTGTCCCCACCCAGCCCTGCCCAAATGGCAGTCATGAGTCAATACATGACTTTTGTCTTAACGCCCTAGGTCTGCATTATTACTACAAACTTTAAATTTGAAATAGTTAAAAACTCACAAGAAGATGCAAAATAGTATAGAGATTTTCCATGTACCCTTCACCTAGCTCCCCTCAGTGACCGTGTCTTCCATGGCTGTGGTGTTTTGTTAAAGCCAGGAAATTAATACTATTGATACAATATTTGATATAATATTGTTAACTCAGGCACAGACCTTATTTAGGCTTTTCCAGTTTTACATATACTCTGTGTGTGCACATGCACATGTGTGTAGTTCCACGAAATTGTATCACATAAAGCACTGTGTTTGGGGGTGCTATTGGTAAGGATGTGTCTTACTCAGCATTCTTCAGTCAGAAGTGTTAGAAACACGGTTCAGACAAACCAGCACAAGGTGAATGCATGGGCTCCCATAATCTAAGCCACGGCGGGGAGGGACGGCCCAGGCAGCTCCATCTAGGCCAGGGGATGGAACCAGGGCCTGTGCAGGGCCACCTGTTCCCAGAGGGCTCCTCCACCATTCTGAGGATGTGGAAGGAAGAAGGGGAGCCCTCAGCTGGCCCTCCTGAGTCGACCACCTGCAGGCTGCTCACTGAGGATCAGGGAGCACTACGTCTGGTCAGAGGGAGCCCCGGCCTCCCTGGCTCCAGGCACCTCTCAAACTGTACTGTGTTGACACTGGGGCAATGCGCAAGGTGGGGGTGGCAGGAGCACCCTTCAAAGATAGAGCTGGAGCACTAGGACAGGAAGAAGAAAGGAAAGACATACATTGTTGAGCAAAATCCAGTGACAGCCCAGGGCAAAACCCTGGGCATGCGGCCCCTAGGGTGAGAAAAGGAAGAACATTCCATCTATGGACTCAACGAGATGGAATATCCAAGTGTTATGATGGGGACACCAACTGACTCTGAGGGACAGGGAAGGCTAGTGTGCAGAGTAGGCACCGAGGCCATCTGCCAAAATTCGTAGGCTCCCCCACTCCCTCTGGGGATAGGCACAGCCAGGTGACTTGCCTTAGCCAACGTAAACGGAAGTGACAAACAGCACTGGGGCAGATATGTTAAGTGCTACTAGGCAATAGCCTAGCTCCGAGAGCAACTGTGTCTTGGACCAGAATTCCCAGTGGACCCACAATGCAACTGCGTGAGCAGAAAATCAAGGTAGGTTGAAATGAACCACCAAGAATCTGGGGTTGTAGGTTACTAGCCTCAGCTGACTGATACAGGTAGCTAGCTTTTGCTTCCTCCCCTTAGTGAAGAAGTAACTGCTTGCACTGTAGTAGGGGAGGTGAGGGGGAACATGCCTCAGGCCTCTGCACCCCAACAGCTAGTGCATGGAGGCTGGGAATGGACTCGAAGGCTCTGGAAATCTGGGATTTTTTTCATTCTGTCAAGGCAGGTCTGGTGGGCTCTGGAGTGAGGAT